GTCTTCTCGTAGACTTGATAGATAGTGTGACCATAGCAGAAATCGAAATAATAATAATAATAATAATAATAATCCAAAGAAGAACCGAAAGAGCGAAACCACTGATGTGAATTGGAAATATTATATTGAATCAATTGCTAAATCTATAACTAGGAAAATTCACTGTGTTGTGATGGGCAATTTTTCTCGATATAATCTATCTTGCACCTTCATATGACTACCATTCGTCAGTTTATCGAATATTGCTGACACATCTGGCTTGGTGCTCCTGCTACGTATTTAGAGATTCTTGACAAAATCCAAAGCGGAATCCGCAATGTTATCGGTCCTGATCTGGTATCTCGGCTTCAGTCTTTATCCCACCGCCCTAACGTAGCTTCCTTGTGTCTTTTCTATAAATATTTTCATGGCAATTGTTCTGATGCGCCTTCCTCTTTGGTACCTTAACTTCAGGAATTTAATCGCAGTACTAGATTGGCAGTTAGGTCTTATCATTCTACTGTCGAAATTGTTAGGTTTTAGCCATAATTCTAGGCTAACAGTTTCTTCTCCTGCACTTATCGCGTGAGGAACTCTTTTCCGGCTTATGGCTTTCCTGTCAAATTTGATCTTCAAAAATTTAAATGGAACGGCATCCTCTTCTGACTCCTTAAAACCTGGTCTTTTAATGTGCTCTCTCTTCTCAGCGTTTTCGGTTTCTTTCAGATTCAGTAACCCCTTGTGGCTTAGTGGATTTATCGCCTTGCTTGGCGTGAAATGATTTTTAAAAAAATACAGGAATTCATAACAGCTTCTTTTCTCGCTTGCGGAACTCCCTTCCAGCTCGATACTTTCCGGCCAACTTTGATCCTCAAAAATTTAAATGTAATGTCAATCGCTATCTACTGTCTCCCCGATTTCACTACTGTTGTTCTCTCTCTCTCTCTCTCATAAGGATTTTGTTTTCTAATTCTTTTACACCCATTAAACTTTTGTGTCTTATTGGCTTTACAGCCTTGCTTGATTAAAAATATCGACATCCGTTAATTAATGTTTCTTTTAGCGCGGCACGTGTTTTCACCTTTTGTTAATGATAGCAATGACACTGCTATATTTCGCTTTAGAATTTGTAATAGAATAAGAAAGAAATACATAAGTGTACATGACTGATTAGGAACCATAATCCTTTGGAAACTGTGCAAACAACTGAGTGATAAGCAAAATAAAACATCATTATCCGAAATTAAAACTGATCCAATTCCGCTACTTTTCTAAAGAAAGAGAAAAAAATTGTCGAAGAGTAAGTTCAACTGGGTCCGCAGTTTCAAAATCGTTTCGAGTCAATGATCCATGTAGATCCCAGAAACGACCATTCTTCATCAGATCTCTTTGACTGGCGCTACATAATCATAAATAACATTAACAAATAACATTAGCCCCATCATTTTAAAACTTTCAACAGCAGCAGCAATAAAATGGGTAGCACATGTTACTCGATGAGAAAATAATAACATAATCAAGATATTAACTTTCCACACTATTTCAAACAAAATGTTAGGAAGGAAACCCCTATCAGTACCAGAAAGAGCTATACATAGCGTAACGGGAGAGAGAGCTATGAATAAAAGATTTATTCTCCCACTTACGTTTCCTCTGTTATGGCTCTTATTATATCCGTGATATAACAAGACATTAGTTCAGGAATGGGCGGAAAGAAAAAGAATGACAAACATACTTTGTTTTCAGAGAGACTTTTATCTCAATAAGACATAAACACAACTATATATATATATATATATATATATATATATATATATATATATATATATATATATATTCCATGCGGAGAATTGCAAAGCAGTGTGTAAGGCGAAACAAAAAGGAAGCGTCATACATATAATATGGAGATACGTCTGTCTCTGGAGAAGCCATGTTTAGGACTACAGATTTAAACGGCTGGATCCATCTACGCCACAGGCGAGGACATATTCCACGAACGCGAGTCTTGGAGTTTCCCAAACTGAGGACCCTGAGCTAGACTTCCATTCTATATCTGGAAGAGATATATTCCCAAATAGAAACGGCCCTATGGAGTTGCTGGGGAGGCAGATTTAGCCTCTGGACGGGTCATGGAGATGGAGGGCGAGCTAAAAAAGCAAACTTACTGCTCAGCTACTGTAAACAAACTAAATTTGAATTCCGCTTTCGTCACTGTACGGAGTGACGTCATTACGTAGCCTGTGACCAACGTGACTTATCTCCACCAAAGGGAGATAAGCGCTTTCTGTATCACTACAATAGGAAAGTATTTTGCGAAAAAGATTTTATAAATTTCACTAGATAATAAAGCTAATTGTTCGGCCAATGAATGCCGATTATTTACGCTAATCTTAGCATTGATATTACAATTATAGATTAATCCTAAAATAAACTGATTACTATTTTGCTCATCATTAGTGACGTTCTTGGAATAGTCCTGAATTTCCTTGCAAAGAGGTTAAAAGATGCGGAAATGTCAGGATGAATTAATATCATCCAGATGATAGTATTCCTAAAAACAGACGATAGTTGCGGAAAGCGTTTTAATGAGACTTGTCGTCGCTTTATCTACAGCGAAAATCAACACTTGGCTGAAAACTCAATAAGTTCAAATAATAAGCAAATAAACAATAAGGATCGTCATTATTTACATTATTCAGACTATTGTCCTCCTCTTTTCGCCATATTTTTTATTACAACGTTTCGGCCGTTGTACGCTCCGGCCTTCTTCAGGTGGTTGGAATGTCGAACTGAAGCCTTTATTTCGTTCACAGGGGTAGACTGTTCCACGTACCATGTCTAATGGATGTCAGTTATCAGTTATCTCCTGTTAATTGCCCTGTCTAAGTTCTCCACCGCCTTAACCAGGTACTGAACTCACACTCTTTGGGTCCTGTCACTGCATCTAACTAACGCCTTTATCCACTGTGCCATGTGTCCTAAATATGGCGACAAAGATGAGGACAATAGTCCGAATAATGTAAATAGTGTACATAACACCTCATCTCAGAAATATAGACAGATACTGAAAGGCCGAAACGTTGTAATAAATATGGCGACAAAGATGAGGACAATAGTCCGTATAATATAAATAGTGTACATAATGCCTCATCTCAGAAATATAGACAGATACTGAAAGGCCGAAACGTTGTAATAAATATGGCGACAAAGATGAGGACAATAGTCCGAATAATGTAAATAGTGTACATAATGCCTCATCTCAGAAATATAGACAGATACTGAAGGATCGTCATTTTTCAAACGGTCACGTGACTTAATGCCATTTGTTCTCCTGCTCATCAAAAATTTTTCGTGTAGCAGCGTAAGAAAAAAAGAATAATTTTTAAGCTAATAATAATGAATGGAATAAAAATCATGATATGAATTGATCGATAAAAAGTAAATTTATTTCCGGGATCCACTGAATTATATCACCTAAAAAATTAAGGATCATTTTTAACACACTGAGATTGTATCTAACGAGCGTTTGTTTGTTTTTCCGCGAAAACAAATTCACTTATAGTTCAGACTTGTCAACCAAAGTTGGCAAAGAGCTTGTCGTACACAAAATTCCTAAATATTTTTTGCGTAAATTTAGGATAAATTCTGATGGACGTCGCTCACGCCAAATATGTGCTCGAAGACAATTTAAGTCGCCAATTAAATAACAAAAGTATCATCTGGCTTGAACAGACGTATTTGCTTTAAGACTAATCTGAAAATGGAATTATTAGTAGAGGAGAATATTAATCAATGAAATCGAACTCGGAAGAAATCGAATTGCTTGTGAAAAGTGTCAGAGTGAAAGAAAGCTTCTATCGAAAAATAATCTATGATTGATTACAAGAAATTAATCGATGTTCAAACACAATGGAAAATTTTCTCAGTTTATTTACAAGAATAAAATTTATTTTTTTAGTTCATTTTAAAATAAAATTTAAAATCAAACTTAATTAAATTGAATATGAAAATTAATTGTAAATATGAATAAAATTTAAAATCAAAAATAAATTGCATTTAAAATGTAAAATTATATTTTGAATTCAAATTCATGTATTTCGTTTCTTGAAATTAATCAGACGTCGTTAGAGAAGAAAATATACAAAGTCTTCTTCAGTGGTAAGTTTTATCTAAGGTTCTGAACCTTATCGGAACGAATTTAAATGAAATATTTTGAGAGATAATAACTTGTCTATACAAATTGAAATATATTTGGCTATTTTAAATGAACATTTCATTGTACGCGTTTGCCGGATTCACTTGGCTGGTGGAGGGGGGGTCTAATTGTCCACGCTCGTCTCTTTTACATCATGGCAATCACATCAGTTCAGAAAGGGAAGAAAAAAAGTAACGATTTATATAAAGCCAAAACTTATTACAATATACTATCAAACGATAACAAACTTAATTATTAAAAAGAAATTGACGTTCGAAGGAAAACCTTAGTTAAAAAACGATGAATATTTTTAACAACTCCCATGTACCCACCATATATATATATATATATATGTGTGTGTGTGTGTGTGTGTGTATTGGGAAGCAGATTTTCATTAGTAGAAATTTGGTTAAAAACCAACGAATGTACTTTAAGAATATTTTTATTTTATTTATTTTTACTTCAAACTCTGTTTTGGACCAAGCTGTCGATCTTTAGTCAAACATGTAGATATAACATATATGCACACACAACAAACCACAACACCCCATATATATATATATATATATATATATATATATATATATATATATATATATATATATATATATATATATATATTGCTGACATCTCGTAAGGAGTGGGTGGAGTGATTGCTGGAAGGTCCGTCTACGGAACTCTAGAGTCAGGATGCTGAAGGTAAGAGCAATCAAGTAACTGACAATCTTTGAAATTTTGTTAATTCTGTGTATATATATATATATATATATATATATATATATATATATATAGAGAGAGAGAGAGAGAGAGAGATATACATATAAACAGACTTAGATAGATAGATAGATAGATAGATAGATATAAAAATACTGGAATAGATAGAGAAATAGACAGGCAGATAGATAAATAGAGAGAGAGAGGGTAGGGAGAGATATGAACAGGCTGTACTAGATGGGAAGAAAGAGATAGAGAGAGATATGAACAGAATATGATAGATACATAGATAGATGTGAAACGAAATGGATATGAAACTAGATAGATAGATAGATAGATAGATAGATAGATATGCAGACAGACAGAAGTTTTGAGAACAAAAATTGAGTTTAAATGTTTTCCTAATATATCCAACAGTTATTAAGTCAGTAAGAAAAAAAAATCGGCTACAAAAGTTCAAATTCCGGCCGCATTCGTTGCGTTCACTTTCTCACATATACCTTTGAGAAAGGTATGAATCCTTTTATTCTCACTACAGCCACGGGTTAAGTAGCCGGACAGACTGTGCTCGCTATCCTTGGTTGACAACCAGTCTAGGAGAAAGATAACACTGACTTCAAACCTGAAGGGTTTTTTTGGAGACTTTGTGACACAATGTGCACCAGATCAATGTTATCAGTTCTTCCGAAAATTGTATCTCGTTATAGAAAAACTTTCACCACTAAAACCAGTCTTCATATGTGCGGCTAGTCTGGTGAGTCATGTTTAAAAACTTATCTATTAAATTCCTGATACGTCTTAAGTGACGTGGGTGGGGGAAAAGTGCAGATTAATGACGACGTATCTGATCCTTTAAAGCGCATTGCTATTTTTAAAATAAGATATTCAGTGCATACACATAATTTGCAGGCGTCAAGAATAAACAGAAGTCGAGGGTAGAACGTTACCTTTCCATGGAGGATGTCGGGTAAATTTTGTCGGTGTTTTATGTTTGTTGCTAAATACCAACAAAAGAGTTGCAGGCGGATCCTTCCTTATTCATTGATACTCCGAAGCTTTTTCAGCCATATTCTCTTGTATATCCTACACAACCGTCTACTGGTTAATTTCACCAGTTTAATCTGCAAGGTAAATAGGTTAAGGGCAAGATTTTATCGTCTTTGTTATTCCATTGTCTTTTCTTTCTTTCAGAGCTACAAGAAAAAAGTGAGTGGTTAAAAGGATATCACAGAAGAGAGAGAGAAAGAGAGAGAGAAAGAGTGAGAGAGAGAGAGAGAAAGAGAAATGGGTAGAGAGAGGAGGATAGTACAGAGGAAGAGAGAAGTGAGGGTAAGTGAAAAGAAAATGCACAAAAGAAGAAATCAGAGGACGAAAACTAATTACCGTAATTCCCCATGTATAATACGCTTTCTTATTATATGTTATGAAAGAAAATGCGTATTATAAATGGGGAATTATGGTAATGCAATTAAAGAGAAGAGAAAGAACACGGGACTGAAGAAGAGTTGAGAAGAAAGAAAGAAAAAAAGAAAGAAAAAAGAAAGAAAAGATTTTAGTGTGACATTAATAAAGAAGGAGAAAGAAAATGAAGAAAGAAGAGAGATAATGACAAAAAAGAAAAAAAGAAAGAAAAAAGAAAGAAAGAAAAAAGAAAGAAAAGATTTTAGTGTGAAATTAATAAAGAAGGAGAAACAAAAGAAAGAAAGAAGAGAGATAATGACAAAAAAGAAAAAGAAAAAAAGAAAATGGTGGAACCAAATAAAGGAATGGGAAATAAAGATGAAAGAAAAAGATGATGAAAAAGAAAGTGAAGCGAAATTAAAGAAACAAGATAATGTTTTGGAAACTTAAAAAAACAATAAAGTTGAAAATCAGAAAAAAAGATATTATAAGACAGAAAATCTAAAAGGTTAAAATTCGTAATGATCTCGTAAAAAGCAGCGAAACTAATTGCATGTATTACTAATATATAAATGATAAAGTGAAAGAAAGACAGTTGAAAGGAGAAAGACAAAACTGAAGAAAGAAAGAAAATCCAAAGAAAAGTGAAGAAAGAATAAATGAAGAAATAAAAAAAAATGAAATACAGCCTGAAAAAAAAGAAAGAAAAATAATTGAAAAATTAAAAAATGTAAAAACTGAAGAAAGAAATAAAATGAAAGAAAACTGAAAGAAAAAAAACAAAACCTGACGAAAAGCGCGAACAAGGAAAGTATGCAAAAAAAAAAAAAAGATTCATGAAGAAGAAACCGAAAAATAAAAGGAATTTTGAGAATCGAATGAGCAGACGATTCGCGATAAACAATTTGCAGGAAAAGCAAAAACAATAAAAGACAAAGCAAACAGAAACGTTGAAATCCGTTGGTCAAGTACAAGACGATCGTCGTCATCTTTCATTGCAATCCGAACAACAAGTATCAGATATTTTATGACTGGATTTTCCCCCTCTTTTTTAAATTTATTTATTTGCCTTTTTCGCAATTGTTTTGCGTTGCGTGCATTTTTGAAATATTAATTATACTTTGTAAATTGTTTAGATTGTTTAAAACATGTTGATTTTAAACAATGTCTGTTGACATTTTGAATTAACCATTGCTACTCGTAATAATCTGGACAATATAAAAAAAAATTCTCCACTCCTTTGAATCGAATCGAGGTTAGAATAAAGTTCATAGAGATGGTAGTTATTTGGAATTATTTCCGTATTTTAACATCTCCCTTAACGATTCTCATTTTTAATTCTAGATGGGTAAAGGGAAAATGTCGAAGGGAGCCAATTAAGTGTCAAATGTGGCAACGATGGGTGAAAACTCATAAATTACAAAAAAGCAGAATCCTAACGGAGTTTTCTTTTTTTTATCCACGATTCTTTTTTTTCTTTTTTTTTTCTACAACAGAAAGAGATTACTGTGATGACGCCATTTCTTGGAACAACCATTATTATACCCTCTTTTTAAATTCACATCGACAACATATGAATGTAAAACTTGCTAATAACTTCAGAGTAAGTGTTACCGGAAAAAAGAATACGAATTTGGCCGGCCTCATCTCCCTGGTTCATTTCTCACAAATGTCTTTTAAATAAGGCATGGATCCATTTTCTTTCTTCTCGACTTCTTATAAGAACCAGGTCCCGGCAGGACGTGTTCGATCATGGCTCTCCACAATTTCCTATCCTTGTAGCTTTGCTAACGTTTGTTTGCATCCTTTCCAACCCTGTTCTGTCATCCATGAACATAAGTTCGTCAGGTAGATGATCCGTTGCCTTCCACTAACCTTTTTTATCTTCGGTATTTGCTAGGAGTGTCAAGTATTCCAAGTTCTCCTCCTCATTATCTGTCGAAGATATTTCAGCTGACTCTTTCTGAGTTTCAGTATTGATGTTCTTTTTGTTTCCTTAAGACATCTTCCTTTCTTACGCACTCCGTTCATGTTATTCTCAGCATCCTTCTGTAGAACCGCATTTCTATTGCCTCTTCTCTTTATCTGCGTTCAATATTGTTGTAGAGTAGTTTTCACAGTGGAGGCTTGTATTTCAATAAGTCGTCCTAAATTAGGTTCGACGTACAAAAACTTTAGGAACTTGAAATAAGAGTTAATGACGCAGCAATCTAGTTGTGATGGTTGGTACTTTAATGTCTGATATCGACTGACTCACTCAATACCACTGAGCTGAACTAGCTACTGCTACTACTACTTATTATCTGTGGGAGAGTCTATTACAATAGAATAGGTATTATGGTATAACAAATATTCTCTGCCATATCAAATAACAACTCAACACTCTTTTCTTACCTTCTAGCGAAATACCCCATTTAAGGGACAATTATTTTTTCTTCTGCAATTACAAAAACCTTAGTTCCAATCCTCACATGTTCTTCAAGATTTTAATTTCTTTTGTTCAACATTTTAATAATGTTGCCAAAGTTGCTAGTATAACTGTAGCTCAACTTGACTCTGTAGCGATTAAATAATTTGTACAACCTGGACATTTTGGAAAATGCTTATTTAAATGGTTAAAAAATATTTTTCCTATATTATTTCTTACTTTCATGTTGAAGGGTGGGTTGAACCAGATAACATTCCTTTTTCTTTTTCTATTGTCACTTGTTCTTGGATTTACTTGATCCTTGAAACACAGATTGATATTATGCCCCTCCTTTCTTAATGCAGATATGTATTTTTCTTTTATTTTCATTGAATATTTCTTCATTTAAATAATTTTTCAAAATAGTATGCATTGCACACCTAACGGGATATGTCTGATCACACTTGATGGTTGATTGGATGCTGCATTTACATATCACAAAGTCATATTAGGCTTCATAAATTGTGAAATAGTTTTAGTCATCAGATTTAAATTTATATGAAAAACCGAACTATCCTGTTGATTTCCACTGCAATTCAGCTCTTTAAACGTCTTGTGTAGTTTTTTCCTGATAGAATCATTTTTTTCTTTTATTATCCACTAATACAATCAGTCCATCATCGCGGCATATTCCGTGGTCGTTGATCCGGACAATTTTATTCAACTGGCTCAAAATGTAGATTCCAATTAGTTCAGTCACCTCTGCTTCGTCGAATGATCCCTGGAGTACATCGAAGTTACCTGCTTTGTATTTCTTGATCCATACTTCACCACCATTAAATAATACTGATTTACGGCAATGTAGGATCACATTCATCTGTTCATGCTTTAAGCATACGAAGTCCTTGGCAAACGGCAAAATTTCCAATAAATTTTTTTCTGTTGTAGATGCAATAGAAGTCTTTAATGTCGTATTTAATAAACATTTAATTACTCTTGTTCGGAATATTATTAAACCAGGAAATTCAGTCGGAAGTGATACCCTGAAAATCTGACGGGTACCAACTATAATTTTATGGTTTATAATACCTAGTTCCGTTGTTCTTGGGTTTATTAAACGGAATGATGGGCTGCTGAAGAAGTCTTCCTTATAATTTTTTACTGTCAGGAAAGCTTGTTTTTCAACCAGTATCCTAACTTTATTGCTAAATCAAAACATTGTAGAGATCTCTTTAGCTTCTGTATGAATTTTATCCAAGTAAGAAGCAGGAGCTTTTTGTAAAATTTAGTTACCTCTTTCTGTACCCCTAAGGACTCATAGCGTTTAACTTTTTTGTTTTATCGTTAAAATAAAACGAAAAAGTTCTAAGTTATAAATGTACGTAAAATTATATGATTTAGCGTATATGAAAGTGAATAGGATTTATACCAATAAAATGCTCGATATTTCATTAAAACCATAATTATTAAATGGGATATACACATTCAATGCTGATCAATGGATTTTTTTCAATATAATATAATATAAGAAGCGGTTATAATTGTCCAACGAGAGAAAAACATATTTTAAAAAGAAGAGAAAACCCGCAAACGTTTTCAAAAAAGTTTGCGGTTTCTCTTTTTTTTTTATATATATATATATATATATATATATATATATATATATATATATATATATATATGTGTGTGTGTGTGTGTGTGTGTGTGTGTGTATAAATAAATAAACAAAATAACAATAAAATAAATATATATAAATAAATAAACAAAATAACTATATATAAATATATATAACAAAATAACTATATATAAAAAAATATATATAAAAAAATAACTATATATAAATATATATAAATAAATAAACAAAATCACAATAAAATAAGCAAAATAAATTAACCCAAACAAATTACCAAATCACACCTGTTAGAATAGACGAAATAGAATTAAAAAATCAATGAACAAAAATAAAGTAAGTAATAAACAAATTAGCAAACCATTATGACCAAAATATTAGTTAGACGATAAAAATTAAACCAAAAATCAGACGAAAAAAATAGCTATAACTGTTATATAACGAAAAAAAAAATACTACGTTACTTAAAAATAGAAAACCGAAAAGAGAAAATATACTGTATAACAAATAAATAATAACAAGTAAAATAAATTGACCTAAATTCATCCAAATACATAAACAAAGAAACTGATCCCGATAAACTAACCGTTAGAAAAAACAAATAAAGATAATCAATCCAAATAAATACATGAAGTAATAAACAAATTAAAAACTGTCCCCGCCAAAATAATAGTTAGAATAAACTACAACAATCAACCCCAAAATTGAATAAATAACTTTAATTATCGTCCCAAAACAAAACTATTAAATAAGCGATATCAACAAATTTTTACAACGTTAATAAAAACACCGATTAAAATAAAAATAAATAAATAAATAAGATAAGAAATAAAAATAATAAAAATAAAAACAATAAATAAATAAAAACAAGCAAAATAATTTAACACAAATAAATAAAAAAAACAAATAAACGACTTCCGGTAAAATAACCGCCCAAATAGCTTAGCCACAATGCACCACTGACCCGTATATATATAAATAGCCGAGAAAAATAACAACACTCGTGGCCTAACGATTGCATCTAGCATGAAACAGAATGTCGCCTCTAAGTGTTGACTTCTATGTTCACTTTTATATTTACACACGCTATATCTCTGATATTGAGCACTTTATCCCATAAATATAGCATATCTTAAGACTATATTTCTTCATATATCTATCTATATATATATATATATATATATATATATATATATATATATATATATATGATATTATGTAGTGATACATTAGAACATACATATATACCCACTGCAAAACTGTACATCTTTTTCAACGTTAAAAAAGTTTTAGCGTTTCATCACTATCGTGATATCCCACCTGATGAAACGTTAAAAATTTTTTTTAACGTTGAAACTAGATGTACAGTTTTGTAGTGGGTATGTGCATGTTCTAATGTAACACTGCATAATAAATAAGTATTTATTGCTCTACATTGGTACTGAGCCCCGTTTTTACATGAATGTTTTTAACATTGAAATCTTAATCTTCGTTTTTCTTACATATATATATATATATATATATATATATATATATATAATATATATATATATATATATAATCGACTCTCCCGTCGAGATTCGACGTATGAGGGTCATACAGATCGGTTTCCAGGAAACCGACAGCCCGACACCGGCACATGAGATTTGATTATAGTGGTGAAGGCTTCGTGCAGGACCATCCACACTTTTTGAAGGGACGAATACAGAGACCTGTGGCATTACGTGCCACAAGGTCTCCAAACGACCCTCCAAAGGTTTTGAATTCAGAGTTGTCCTTCTCCTAGACCAGTTGCCATCCAAGGCTATAGAACCCAGTCTGTCCTGCTATTTTATCCATAGGTGGAAGAAGAGGAAGGGGATTCATACCTTTCCCAAGGGTATTAACACGTAAGTTAATGTAATGGATTAGACTGGAATTCGAATATATATATATATATATATATATATATATATATATATATATATATATATATATATTTATTTGGTTAGATAGATGTGAGTTCGTGACCTGGGTTTCACGCTTTAGCGATCGTCAGGGTTTGTCTGACGATCGCTAAAGCGTGAAACCCAGGGTCTATACTCACATCAATCCAACAAATATGTTAGCTCTATCTCTGATATTGAGCGCTTTCTAATAAGTACCATGCATATAATATATAAATAATTATACATATATATTTATTTATATTTATATACACTTTTTATATATATATATATATATATATATATATATATATATATATATATATATATATAATTTAGTAAGGATAGACCGTATGTTGTTAAGAAATGTCCAATTTATTTACGACTTCCTTACATTGGCAGAGAAGGTGAAAAACTAGCAAGGCGAATTTCACATTCCGTTAGTAAGTGTTTTTATGCTGCTAATGTGAGAGTAATATTTTTTACTCGACCAATTCTTTCTTCCAGGCGCAAGGATTTTCTGTCTCCCTTTCATATTAATTCAGTTATATATAAATTCAAATGTGGTTGCGGATGTCTCAGCGTTTGAATTTTAGAATTAAACAACATTTACCCCCCAGAATTTTAAATCCGGCCGCTAACAAAAGCCAACTAGTGAATACATCCGGGTCATCTATAGCGGAACACGCTATAACTAG